AATTGAAGTTTCATCTATGATCACAATAACAATAACAAAACCATAGTCTAAATTAAACCACTTATATGTAATATGGGCCAGCCAGTTCTTTAACGTTCTAAAATTCTCTAAAATTATCACGTTCACACCCGTGAAACGTGGGATAATGAGCGCGCTAATATGTGAAATGTGGCTTTCTAGGCTACTGCATAAAAAGGCCATTTGGTGGCGCTATTACACAAAAATCAGCTCTGACGAAAATGCGTGACTTTTTTTAACAAACACAACTCAAATATTTTACAAACCGGAGACCCATTCAGAAAATGAAAAGGTGAATATTATGAGGGTATTTGTAAACTCTGGTCTTCAATTTTCTGTGGGACTTAACAATGGCACCAAATTACCAATCTTTATCCTCAGAAATATGGTAATGCAAATGCACACACACATACACATACACGCACGCACCTCCCACACAATCCCCCCTACACACTTAACTGACTGCAGGAATGTAATTATTTGTTAGACTTGAACACATAGTGGACTTGAACACTTTATGAACAACAAGACTCATTAAATTGAATGCGTAATACACTTAAACATTTGAACGTTTGCAGAACTAAATTTTGAAATATTTTGTCATTTTGGTACAATGGTGATGTTCACAGGTGGCCAGGTGTACTTTGGTAGTTAAAATGTGTGGTTATCTCGTGATTAAAACTCAACTAATAATGTGTTCACCATAATATTGCATGGGGCATGACATCCGGTTGTCAAGTGGTAAGGAAACAGATGGTTTTAAGATCGGAATAGAAATTTGTGAACATTTTGACTTGATACGAATGGTCTGTGTACATAACTGAAAATAAGACATGATAAAACATTTACCGATCGTTAACAATCTGATCCTCCTGGGTTTACTGACTTGATAACACCACTTGATAACCAATGGAGTCAAGTATAAATAACAATTTATGCTAGCAGCGAAAGTGCACCTTGTATGCGTGTGGTCGAAGCTACGACCAAAAATCAATGACATGGCAACAGCAGGACAGTAATATTTTTTTCAAATTCGCCAGTCAAGTTTGACCAATATTGGCTCAGTCCTTCAAATAAATCACAGGAAAGTTAAAAAGCCATTTCTTTCGAAACGTTGCCCCAACACAGAATCAAAGAAGTTATCAAAATAATAATAATAATAATGATTTCATCACTTGACTAAAACTGAAGGTGTGACCTGCCTTTTTGAACGAAATCGGCCCACCCCAAAAAATCACAGAAGAATTAATACGTGAAGACGACACTTAAACACAGACACACAATTGTAATAAAATAAGGGCAATCCTCGCGGAGCGAATCGCCAGTCTTATTTTCACCCTGGTCCTGATAGTGAAATTATCACAATAATAATGAATTTGCATATTTGCTTTTTATGTCATAGCAACGTACCATATGGACAGAAAACATTTTCTTTTAGAAAATAGTGATATAGTTTTTTAATTGTAGCATAAATATATGTCCTCTATGTGGGTATGCTATTTAAAATACTTAAATGTAGTTATAGAACAACAAGTAATATTGGAATAGTAGTATTGCAATATGACGGACGTGAATTTCAAACTCCTGGAACGCAGCAGAATTGTTTCAACTGTCAAACCAGCTTGCTCAGGATAATCATAGAGACAACAACAACAACAAGATGATTTTAGCTACGAATCGGATACGTTAATAACACATCAGCGTAAACATATATATGAACTCGCGATACGCAGTTTATGCAATGCAATAAAATGAATCATTCGATTCGAACTGAAAAGTAAAGAAATAGGAAATAAGCCAAACGTCGCGGAATCTTTGAACCAGAGATGGGGAGATATTTAGGAAGGAAATTTTTGGCTCAGCAACGCAACGTTATTTTAGTTTCGGGGTTTTCACGAAAGTTGTTAAATGCAATGGGGTGATATAAGTCGTTTCAGTCAAGTTAGTCAGGCGCCACAGCCTGAACATCGTACTGACACTAATCTCCGCCCACCAGAGTTCATGCACCATGCTGTCTCTTAATATCTGACAACGAAGTTTATCCTGACACAAGAATACGGTTCAGACCAATAGCAGTAAATACTGTCAACAAGCTGAAATTCCCGGCAGCAAAACAAATCACATTTCCAGCGAAACAACCGTTCACGTCCACAATGTCGTGGCGTACTGACAACCAACACGCAGTTGTCTGGACACCGCAACGTAAAAAGCATCAATTACTATGCCATTTTGTATCTATGGATCAGCAGCGACAGCTATCGGATATATTGTTTGATTTAATACACTTGTTCATAGCCAAACTCTTCAAAATATTCCAACGCACGCCAACCTAACACAGAGCTGTCACTATAACCAAGAACCTACAAACGTCGATGTTCGGCGTACCATGTCACACTCAGTGGAGGCATTGCCTCATTCGCACGTTTTCGCTTCAGCCGGTCTTCCATACCGTTCCCTTTGAACGAAAAAGCTGTATTTGACCATGGTTATGTTGAATCATTTGATTGGGTGCGCCAAGGAGCTGGATCAGAGTTGCCGTAATCTTTGTTGTCGAAGATGCTGTTTATTGGGGCTCATCTGAGTAATTGTACGATCATATAATCCACGACTCAAGCAACTCCAGTCAATCCCAGTATATTTCCCATGTCATATTTAGAGCAAAGTTGCACTTCTGTGGTTTCTCTTGATATGTATGTAATATGTGCGAACATTCAAAGTCAAATAATATAATTAGTATAATTTTTTACACCCATGTTTCATTATAAATCCTTCAAACCACCGAATTTATAGGCAATTCATTTTTGTTATGGCGTAGTCCCAAACAAGATCGGACGTAAATGAGTTACGTTTCTGTTGTTTTGAATGAGTGTGACATCCCCGTGGAAATATCAGGGGGAAATCTCTCTCTCTGGGGTTCTCCACACTGTCAGGGGGGAAACTCGTCTCGTCTCTCTATCTTGTCCCCTTGAGGTACGGGATCGGGGAAGTCACTTTAACTTTACAGTCAAATAAGACACACACAACGAAATACGTTTCAACTCTCGTCTTAGTCGATCTTTTGGAGCACTCTATAAGACACAGCGCCCTGGGGAAAAGTCCCCAAGACTCTCACAAGGCTGAACCAAGACTCGCCCAAGACTGGACTGCCTCAAGGCTCGCCGCTGGACTGGACTCTCGACTCGACTCGACTGCGTCTGTCGTGGAGTATTCCCCAAGACCAACTCAAACTCTCTTTATTCATTTTCAAAACTCTAACCAATTACAAAACAGTAAAAGACTCTAGGGCGTAACCTTCAATCATAAAGCCAATCACACTAAGTACTGAATACGTCATATCTTTTGATTAATCGTTCACTACATTAATAACTACGGATATAAACTGTCAGAATGGCGACGATTATCTGGTAATTAGTTCCAAATCACTGAGCCAAGTTCCCTCCAAAATTTCAAATAGGCCTACACGATGACAGACATAACACAGCAATTCGCTAATAATCAGTTAATTAAGTCGGTTAACAGATACGCAAAAACAAATTCATGACAGAAACATTGGTGTTACTAATAAATAATCATTCAAGTAATTCATGTATTTTGCGTTCTATAAAAACAAAGAAACTTTATACTTAGATACAGCTGTTTTGAAATAGCCATTGCCTTAGTTGCGCAAACAATGCTTGATATCGCATATTTACTAAAATTGATCACCCAGACACAAGCGCTAGAGGACGTAAATAACGTAAATAATAATATCCTAGACGATATTATTCATAAGCCAATAGCTACAGATGTTCCAGGAGGGGTGTTTTATAAAGTCGATTTTAGAGTTAAAAAAACTGGAGAAATAATTTAATTCAGATTTCGAATCAAAAGCTGTACAGCGCCAATCCTTTCACTAAAGAAAGGATTATCTACCACAATAGTTGTTTCTATTATTGTCGAACGTTTACATAACACTGGCAGGGGATACCTACATGACCGTGTTTATGTCAGGGAAAGCCTGAGGAGGACGACTTTGATGGGGATTTTAACTGAAGGCGTACACTTATCATAAGGTCATATACTAACTTATGTACCAGTACCTTATGGCACCTGGACCGGAATCATAAAATGTACTTTCACCTATTTATATGTATATGAAGATAAATATCTGAAAGCTGGCACTTCATATGTACATTTCTCTGTTTACAACATTTCCTAGACGGGATTGACAGATCGTTCACTAAACTTATATAAATATCACACGATTCGCTGTGCAGTATTGCAAAATAAATATATGCTTTGCCTCCAGTTCAGAGTTAAAACATAGTCCTATACGTTATATAATATACATTATACTGATATGCTATATGCAAATAATTAGTTTTGAAATCGTGGATATGCCTTAATTAAGACATTGCTTTAAGAAAGATACATAAGCAGTACCCTGGTTCTGTCTTAAATGGATTGCTTTTGCAAATATTCTGTCTAGTGTCCAGAGAGGGAACTGCCAACTTGCCATTACGAGGAAATCGTGAAAACTCAATGGACTAGTTAAGTTATTACAAACAAGTACACTAAATATGTATCAACAATTATCTATGTACTAACAATTACAATATCGCATACATCAGATGCAATATTTGGGCAGGGAATATCCATGATCCCGCGAGTCTGGAACACAAAAACCAATAGCAAATGGTAGTAGATGGAATACCGACGACAACATTTGCTTTTGACGGGTGAGTAACGTATTAGAGTTTGAACGGTGACGGTGAGAATTTACTATTATATAACTGCAGTTTACCCTTTAAATAAATGTGGACCGCCATGCGATTTTACGTGCCAGCAACACACACTGGTAATTTTAGTAAAACATACAGACACACAATATCCATATTATTACTACCCCTTCCAATGAAAGTGGATTCAACTAGTATTGTGCAATCAGAATTTATTCATTAGGGATTTGTGACTGGTGTCGCAACACAGCTGTCTGTGGATGCATGGAATCAGAGTCTGGTCGTATTGACTATTTATTTTCAGGAAATAGGAAATCTACTAACATCACCAAATTTTCTGGAAAGAGGTTTAGCTTGGTATACATATACATATTAAATTAAGTAGGTTATATCACATGCAAGGTGGAATTTGAGTATTTTAAAGATATATCGCCTGGTGATGCCAACCTTGTAGAAACTGTACCCTGAACAAGAACCGAAGAACACAAGACTGGTGTTCGCGATGCATGAGGTAATGTAGTTAAAATTGTTTATGATTATTCACCCAAAATGTGTTGATAAAATGTTTTGGGCGGCGACTGAAATATTGTGACAGATCCTTAAACGCCGCGTTACGTACATCCCGTGAAAGTCATGATTATTTTATGTGATTTAAATCATAGATATCGAGGAATATTTAAATACTATTTAAATATGTTATCGATGTATATAATGATATATTAACTGTTATTAAGTTATTCCATATTGCCAATATATATGTATGTGTGTGTTTGATCACATGATGTTATCTAATGTACCAATCCTAGTAGATCGTGTCAAATCATTCCTCACAATGATTAGTATTTCAGGTGGTTGCAAGCGAGGCGAACAAGAACATTCCGGTTTTTTTCTGTTATTCTGAGTTTATGGGCTGTATATTATCTCTCGTTTAGCTGGATGCCAGCTAACACCTTTGCCGAAACTGAGATTCTGGGAAATGAGGAATTAGAACTGGAAAGCAATGTGAGTACATCTGAGTGTGTGCTAGTGCGACAAAACCATGTCACCATGGAGAGTGCACGCCCGGATTATTTTTTTATACCTGCCACGCCAGAAAATCAGATTCGTGTATTATATATTAAAAATCGATTACTCGGGAATACAACTAGTTTTACCTTTTTTTAGATGTTATGTTCATCTTTGAGAATAGATTCTGTCAAACGTCGGATTTAGAAGGTCATTCATTTGTTAATAGACACCAATATCATAAATGTGACAGAAATTATGCAGAAAACATTATGGGGTATTTAATTTAATTTAGATATATTGATACATTCTACTTCCAAATATAAATGTTTTCACCAACAGCATAACATGAATGCAGAAGTTGAAATAATGCTTTTTTTAATATATTCTTTCTCTTGTTGTATAAATTATGTAGCAATTTGAATACCTGATGCCATGCATCTTCACATATAAACAAGTCATTTATATTAATTGACTGCATGATTATTTCGTACTATCCCCGATGGGGTTAAAGTGATTAAATATCCAGGATGAAGCCATCCTGTTACTATCATACTGCTAACAATGACGCATCTTTTAAAAAGACTTAAAGATGAAATCCGCCTAATTTTAAATCGTCCAGGCGCGACAAGCTGTGATGATGTGTGTATCCTCACATCCTTTCCACTGCCATACATCGTAAACTGCGGCGAAAATGCGTTATTGAAGAGCAGGATTAGCATGGGTGTGACCATGGGTGGAGCACAATAAATATGTTAAAACAATATTATTGAACATTTGAACAGTACAGGATATTTAAAAATATTTTGACCAATATTCCGCGCGAGGAAATAATTAAGCATGTTTCTGTCCACTTCATTGGATACAAGTTTAACCAGAACACATTTGTCGGTTGACACACTTTTTAAAATCTTGCTTTGATAATTATCATGTAGGTACCTTGGGGACCCATGTACAATTTTGACGATTTCCTGAATATATCTTCACTTCTCTATTTTTAGCAATTTTTTCTGTGAAAATGTTAATTAAAAAAAACAACAACAACAACAACTACTACTACCTCCATTACTTTGATGCTTATTATATAGGTAGTAAAAATGCCATTTCTTCTTGACTTCTTGAAAACTACCAGGTTTCATGGGTTCGCCTATGCACAAACTATCACAGTAAATATCTTGTACATAAACTTATCAACTTCGTTTTGTGGGAGACACTACAAAAACAGTGGGGCTATTTCGATCGCTTGTTTATGTTTTGCTTTCGCAATATTATCATCAGTCATGTAATGGGTGAACTAAGTTATAACAGTTTTGACTTGTTATAATGATACAACGTTTTTTAGGTAGTGTTTTTTATTGTATAGAAAACTGTCCCTTTTTTATCCTGTCCTGTTTTTATATTAAAATAAAAACGTTTACCATCGCATTTTTTTATTTGATAAATAAAATGAACTGGGATATTCAGCAGATAGAATGTAAACATTCTGATTATATTCTAAAGACACAATTGGTTTGTGCAGCTACATCCTGGTTGACATATCTATCTAATGCAACATAGTGTTCATATCTCCAAGGTTTGAATTGGATATGCGATTATGACTAAGGTAACATATGAAAGAAATTCCACAATTGCAGGTTCCTGTTTTCTGAGGTCTTTGGTTGCATCTTAATATATCAACAACTTTCACACCATCCCAAATAAAAACTGTGCAATCGCTTCTGTAGTCAAACACATTGCTACGATTCATCACATCTGAGAAATGTCAGAGCTCGTACTATCAGGTTGTATGTAGCCGACTTTACATTAAACGCAAAATAGAACACCTCACATTTTAGGTACTTCTATCAACTCATTCCACACTATAATTTTGCCTAACACATTTTATGTTTTTGTAGGAGGCTTTGCTAAGACAGAACTACCTGAGGTCTGATATTGAAAACAACACGACAATAGAGAAAACCACTGTTTCAGCATTACTCCTTGGGAAAAGAAATAACACGCCAATTTTCATGCGCCAGTACGTTCTACCATTAATAGCGTTTCAATCGGGACCTAATGGGATATACAATGCATTTCGTAGATCTATGGTATTTGCTAGTATTTATGAAAGGTCTCTTGTAATACCCCCATTCCGCCAACACAAACTACAGGATGGTGTAAAAACCGAAAGGAGTTTCAATGAAACATTTGACAATCAGAAAATATTAAGAGTAGTAGATTTATGTGATTTAAACGAATTCAAAATACAATGCGGCACAACTATTCCTCTAGATTGGATTATATTCCCTCCTACTAAACATACACCTTCCTTCCCTGACAACTACAATAATGAAGTACAAAAACATTACAGGAAGCAATCCATTTTCCTAGGTGACCGATTTGTCACTGAATTTTATAATAACACCGGAATTTCACTACCGCAACCAAACATCACACTATCCCAAACACAAAATACACGTGAAAAAATACTTAATGAATTCGAGAAGAAAAGATGTGTTGCATATTTTCCGGCTGTGAAATCAACAATTGCTACATCAGCTCAGCAATCCTATGTGGAGAAACATTTACTAAGAGCTCCGTATATACGTAGAATAGCAGCACAAATAATGACTGGCTTATTGGCAGAGCAATATGCTGTATTACATTGGAGGAATAAAACAGGAGAAAAGTAAGTAAACCACTCAAGCACTGTGTTTTCATTGGGCGGCCATTTAATTTTTTTTAGTTCTAGTCTTTTTAGCATTACTCATTTGGGTATATTCACAGAGTAATCTGTTAAAGAGGATATGTTGTCTAAACAATGATCGAAGACATTTTGATGTTGTCAGACGTGATTCCAAAAGACCAAGCCTGATTTATCAAATAATCTAATTGCTCTTTAATCAGGTGTAATTCAGCAAATGGTAGTCATTGCTCAATACGAAGTGCACGAAATCTAAAGTTTTTGAAGAAAGACTCTGATTCGATTGCATCAAGTCTGCACGCATACCTTGAAAAAGCGGGATTGAAATATCTCTATGTGGCGGCTCTTCCCTACGAACAGGTATTCATTGTCTCGATTTGTTACAAAAAATAATTACGCGAGACACGCAATATAAACAACTAAATTGTTATCTCTTTTATATTTCAGTTCATTGTGAAGTCACTTCGAGAATCATTATTGTTTACATACACTGTAGAAGATGCGTATAATGTGTCCCCTCTGTTGGATCACTACAGAGGGGATACGTACGTCCTATCATTAGTAGAACAAGAGATCGCTGAGCGTAAGTAAATTGATGTATTGAATATACACTTGTCTATACATAATTATATTTTAATTGTAATTTTGTTATTCGAATTATACAATTTAATTTACCGTTCATAATTCTAGTTAGTTACTCTAGAATTATCTGTACGTTAAACTAAATATGTATTCAGTTTGCGTGTGTGCTAAACCGTGATGTATACAGCTACTAGTTAATTTGTTTTAAGTCTCAGTATTATTTTTTCTTGTAAAATAACAAATATTTTTTTCACTGTAGAAGCAACAATGTTTATTGGAACGACGTCATCAAGTTGGTCATTCTTCGTGGAAAGTAGCAGAAATCTCGAAGGAAAGAAAACAGTTTACATTCAGAAACTTCCCGGAATGCCAAACAAGTACAAAAGCAGTGCGCGGCATATCATTTAGAATATTATTTCGTAAGCGGTTATTGTCTTCTGTAATATTTGTAGTAAAATTGACATTAAGCAACTTGCACAAAACTCTACATTACCTACGAGTGTAGCACACATTGATGAGCATAATAAATTGTTAACGACGAGTTGCTCGTATAACAATTTATTGTTCCGAATTTAATATGTATTTCTGAATTCTAAATCTGACCTAATCAATATTATTGTGTATGGTGAGAACAGTTAAATCCTCCTTGAATGGCGAAATTGTCTCTCGTGATGCACGAGGCGGATTTATGATAATTTCTGTAATCCGTTGCGCGGATACACGATCACGTTATTTTCAGCCTTTCTTTTTTGAATTGTATATGGTGTTATACCATTCTTAGTAAGATAGTGCATTACTGAATAAATGTTGTATTTGTTGGCATTGAGTGAAATAAACGTATAACCAGCATATTGTTCTGTAAATACCCATTTTTCCAAAGTCTTTCATACAGACAAGACAATCTAACTTTTGTTTTATCTTCATCAAAACATACCGTGTTGGTTGTTTATGTCCCATTGTCCTGGACTCATTCGAGTATTACTGTACCATCTGAACCATCTTTTCTGTTAAGTTGTTCAAGTAAACACTCGTCAATATTTCTTTACTGCTTAAATTGTCACGAGTGCTGCCTTGATACCCCGGCCTCCGAAAAACTGCAAAAATCTATTTTTCCCTGGTGTTATTTTTTTTTCTTATTATTCTTTTCTCATCATTGGCATGGCTGAAGGGCACACACATGTGTACATACAAGTTCTATACTGTGATTGCATTTGTCTTTGCATCGCCTTGCTCATAGATCACCCACATATTGAACATTAAACTCAAAACTCGGTGGTCGGGGTCTAAGCGTATATACTCAAATGGACAAAACAGTTTATATTGTTCAGTATAGAGGGCGTCCATTAACGAATGTATGAGACCTCTGCACTATTCTGTTCAAAGCTGTGATCTATTGATATGTACATATCTATTGAACAGTCACACATAGAAAATCCTTTAGAGCGAGCCCGCTTTGTGCATGCTTTATGGGCTTTGCCATCACAATGAGTTGACAATTTTTATTTGGGCATGACAGTTTTTTCATTAGTCCTTATTCACCCAGCCATATGTGTTTACATTGACTTGACCAAAGTGGGGTTAATAATGCACGCTCTTACGACACTGACATAAACATATGCAACAAAACCTTACACGGGACTTTGATTGCATGAATGAAAGAATCAGAAGATCGTTCGAAAATCTATAATCATTTTAACTTTTTGACAGCTTCAGTGTCCCTTGTAGAAAAATACTTTTCATTTATCATTCCATTACAATTAGCACACGGACATTTTTTTCGTACAATGCGTAATGAGATGAAAGTTCGCCATCAATGTATCATTCTATCTGTAATATGTTCTGATTCTGATTCGGATTATATTGAAATATAAAAACGAGAGAAATGCTACGTTTGGTATAGCCGTGGTTCCTTGTCCGGATAGGGCTTCGTCTGGCTGTATACACGGTAACTTCGGCGTACAAGCCGACCCGAACGCTGTCCCATCTGCTCACATAGCGGTAAAGGGATGGGTGTATATATTTCTGTATACAGGCATTTGAACCTGACGGGAAGAGCAAAACAAATTTTTCGATTTCGACCATACAAAATACCTTGATGGGGCGATTACATGCTATAGGTCACTCGACAGAAACTTTGATCTGGTATGTCCTCTTTTTAAAATAAAATTTGTATTGTTTTTGATAAACATATATTCCGATACCATGCAATTTCTGCCAGACTTCGTCCACTCAAAAGCAGTGAATTGATACTGAACTCCTAATATGTAACGAAAAATCTCTACGACCTTCAGAGAATGCAAATGTATGAAAAATACCCTCGTAAAACAGAGGAATCACAATAAACAAAAGTTCAGTTAAACAAAAAACTGACCAACAAGGGCGCTGTGCAATAATGTCAAGACCTGTCTAACTGCTCTGGTCTGGTCTGCAATCAGTATGCTGGTAAGCTTTTTCATTAGTATGTTTCCAAGGAATATGAAACACAAAATAATTACTGTTATAACATATACCATTTTCAAACGGTAAAACTAATACTTTCTTCAGAATCGTAAATATGGTAGTTCCACACTCAATTATTGATAGATTGATCAAAAGGTAATGGCCCAACAATGTTGGAAAGTCGTTCACGATTATTCATAAAAATCTAACTAAATAGCATGTTTAACCTTCAATGGTTAACCAAAGTACACTTTTCTATACGCAGTGACTATTCAATAAATGTGGTCTGAACTATACAAAACACAGATAACGAATATTCTAATTAAATCAGTAGTATTAAATCAGAAGTAGTATCACATACACCTTTTACTCGATTATAATATTTTGCCGAAAAGAACACAGTTTGGCTATGACTAACTATGACCCGGATCTATCCAGAACTTATATTACAATCCACAAATATTCTGAATCACACTTAATTGTAATCGTAAGTGTGACTTCGACACTTCCACTGCGTTCACTCAACAAATGCGTATTAATCAGTGACGTGCAGTGAGACTGTTTTTGGGGTCTACGATTTTCAAATTGTTGTGTATATCATCTATGAAATATACATAGGGACATTCACACATAAAACAAACAACAACTTTAGCGCTCACGTGACTTTGACCGCCAACATCTTCAGAAGAATCTCTCCAAAGTTTCCTTTTCAAATTTCTCATTATCACTTGGTTCGCCGGCCTTCTTTGATTGTGTAATAAACAGAAATTGACCGATTACTAGTAACCTATCTGTCTAATCGGCGTGACATTTGGCATATGTCATCTACTCTACTGGCACTATGTATCCTGTGAAGTGTGTTATCACATTTTTGTCGTATTGGTAAATATACACTGTATATTCTTTGCCACTCAAAGTGTTGTTTTTAATTGAATGTGTTTATTTAAGCACAATTTGTAGCTGACAATGTGGTCACGGGGTGTCATGTGAATTCATAATATGCAAATGTGCAATATTTAGCAATGTTACAGATATAGACATGCAACCAATGCATAGTACTACCAAAACTGTAGCATTTCATGTTCAGTTTCAAATACGTAAATCAAACCAGTCCTATAATGATGTCATCGGATAAGATATATCAGATGACCATATATACAAATAAAAACAGAAAACAAACTTAGCACGAGAACACTATGTATCGAAAGGCAAGTATAAACAGACAGCTCGAAAGAGACGTGTTATTTTCCAATACATTGTAATGTAATTATATTTTAGAGCATATATGTAATTGATGCATCTGAATAGCTGTGAGTATTGGTACAACTTGGCAATGTGCAATAACAATATACAATATAACCTGAATATATGCTCTTAATTGTTCTATCTGATAGTGCAATAATATCAGTATATATCCCTTCTATATAAACATGCTGCCAAAATGGATCACCATCAGTCGTATAAACAATAATACCCATCGTGTTAATTGCCATTATAGTTGGGTCTATATTGAACAATACTTTCAATAATTCACATTACTATAATATCACATTACTATACATTCTCGTTTTGGTTTGTTTTTTACAAAAAAAAAAGCAAACGCATTTCAGCCAATTAAAGCATTCACTTCACTACATAAGTTGTTTTTGTATACTATAGTTGTTACATTATTCATTTACTGTGTTACACTTGTTCAGGACATAATTGTTTACATATTGCAGATTAAACGTATTAATGTGAATTTAATCGATTTTACGTGGACTGTAAATTATCATGATTTGTAACTGGGAAGTTTGAATTACACGCAAAAATGTAATCTCTTAACGTATGTTTATGTCACGTGACGTATACTTTCAGTGCGCCACCACTTGTTGATGATACACATATTTATCATCACTAACATCATATATTCTACTTTCTGTTCCATTACATCCTTTATAACGTCAGTGCATTATGGTTGCGATACAGTTTGATTACTGTTAAAGATTAATATACATTACTTTCCGATTGCTTACACAAGTAACGAGTTAGCGGAATACGATATAATATCGCCTATTTTTTAATGTGACCATAAAATGTATACGCATTATAAAACTACGGTCATTATACATGCGCACTGGGTTCGTTTAGGTGTGAAAGGTCAGAATAAGCCGTTCACAACCGGAAATTCAACAGATAAACGTATGACTTCTTAGACAACAACATCATTTAAAATAGATGCCATTTCAGTCCCGTACGTGCGCAGTTCGTCTATCGCTTCTGAACATACTCCGAATATTGCCGAATGCTTGAGATTAGCAAAATTCATTGTAAGGAGGTGATAAGAGCTAGCCGAAGCAAATGTTTGTGAACAAACATTGACAAACGATCATAGGGTAAAGCTACAATTATAGAGTCGTGGCTCCTTTTATACTCTAGTATGATATGACGGATTTGTAAACCACTATGAGCTCAGTCAATCTCGGATTACAGAGCTATGTAGTTATCTGTTCAAATTCTGTTTTGTTATATTTAATATGTATCTTTTATAACGCTCACACTATTTGGGCTAGGATTGTTGCTTATTTATTCTGTGTTTGTTTCTGAGTATAATGTATTATTTATGTCGTGTGTTATTTGTACTTTATATTGTGGGAGCAGCAATCTGGCGCTGTTTGATATTTTTCTCAGTCATTGAGCTTATGATACAAGGCCAATAAGGCCAGACTTTTTTATTCCTTGTTTCTCGAGTTTTTATAAGGCAATTTTTTTGAGGAGGGTGGAAAAAAATAAAATTATTTTTTTGTCATTAGATTTGTGTGATTCTCAAAGAATTGTGAGTGAGATCATTGATTGTATAACTTTGTTTCTAGTCTGCGCGATACTTTGGTACTTTTATCATGATACTCCAACGAAAATGCAACTTGGATTTGTTATGCGGCGGACGGTAATAGTTTTTTAGCAATTTTTTGCGCTTAAAAGTCGGCGGGCGCGAGAAATTACGCTGAAATAAAATTTTGTTTTTATTTCATTTTCGGCTCCTGTTCATTCGGCGGGATCGCGAAACAAGGGATAATAAAAGTCTGGCCTAATTGGTACAAACAATCTGAATTATTTTTTGAGAACATAACAATGTAAACCAGAAAACGAATTATAATTAGATGTAAATAAATAATTTTAGAATTAGAGGGACATCAATTGTACTTTCACTTTGTTCATGATTATAACAGCATTCGGTAATATTCAATTTTGAGGTGTATCTAAAAACATGACAGTGCTATTATGTTATGGCGCATGCGCAGGTGAGGACACCCGGTTTTAATGTAGCGAACACTAATAAATGGCCGCCATTCAAGTCACCCTGAATCTGATCATCTAATAAAGATATGATTAGTCACAGCATTTCAGAGATAAATATATAATACACAAGGCAACATAATTCATTATTTCATTATTCCCGAATAAATATTTGTGTTGCAAACTGGCATTCAATTTTTGTCTGCCAATTCAAGCTGAATCTAACCATCATTCTATTAGTGACTTTGAATCACTTATTTTTATCATGGTTATTATAAATGAGTACACATTTCAAACAAGCACGCTGTCCATCTCACACAAATACACCAATCAATTTGCATATATTGTGTGCCGTCATGGTTCGAGTTACCTATTGTATTTGTTTTTTCATGAATTGTATTGTTTGTGAGATGCCATACACAATGAACCACGAAGCAATATGTACATTATAATATTTTTTATTTTTTGACTATAATCATAACCACACCCATATTTTTAAACCCTGTTTATAGTAATGCTATTCAAGCATTGTTGTGAGTCAACATAATTTTGGCCGTCAAACACTCCAGTCCTCATCACATCTACAATAAAAATAAACAAAATATATTGTTAATATAAATCACAGCTCCAATGCATTATACAAATAAAGAAAAAACAACTCTGTAAATTTAACTGAAGAACAAATTTGGATTCCAAAACACAAATGATTGACAACTAATTCATAAGCAGCAACAACAATAAACTTAAGAAAAACTGGTACGACGGGTGAAAAAACAATGTAGTGGTATATGACGAATGTATTTATATCAAGTATAAGCACAGATACCAGCCGATACCCCTTCCCCGCTCATAGAGACTGCGTACAGTTGATTATAGTTCCTGTCCTCCCTGTGGTATAAGTTAGTGTGTCACACATTATTTGCAGACCCGCAATAACAAATACATACTCAAACGTCATATCTGCTACCTTTTGTCAGAGCTATCGTCGACTATTGTGAATAAATAATGTGTATCTGATATATATTATAGTTTAGATGGGATTCCCAATTTTGATATTCGCCCAGAATAATACCAACATTAGAAATCGTTAATAGTAAATTTGTCCGTCATCAACAGAATATGAGGTACGTTGATTGTATATCCAATAATGATGTACATAATAATAAAACTCACTTCATATCATGGTTTTTCCAGCTTTCCCCAAACTCAACAACATCATGCACAACGATACCATCCGGTTTCTGGAAGTCATTGAGACTATTTCCATCGGCGTTACCAAGTAGACCACATAGTTTACCTCGGTAACTCGAACCTGAGAGCTTTGCAGTAAAGATACGTTTTTTCAGGGTCCACTCGAGCATGAATTCTGTGCCTGACAGCATGAATTTCAACTTCACCATATATCCGTCTTCCTTGACAGATATTGTTGGTGACTTCAACAGCATCTTTTTACTATTTCCCTGTAAACGTATAAATGATATGCTGATCTATAGTGTACTATAATAATATAAAAACAAAGGAATTTTACGAAAATTTGCGAATATGAAACAAAAGCAACAAGTTCATGCAATTGCAGATCACAGCAACGATTTATTCAAATGCGTCAACTGATGCGATAATTGGTTTTGAGTGTGTGTTCATGGACATTTGACCATACATAATGAACTAATTGTGGATATATTTAAATAATAACAATGAAAACAAAACATGTTTGCATTTGAACTTAGTATGCTCTACAAAAAAAATCCTCACGGACCCTTGTCATCTCCAGATAGACTTTGAATTGTTTGCAATTTCAATGAAATATCCCTTACATCAGAATGCTGAAATTGAGTGTAGAACGTGTCTCCTATATAGACTAAAATGACATTTAAAGATTGCCACAATGAAAAGGACATATATGTTTAATTCAATAATTACACTACTAGCTTCAGTGCTCCAAAACCTAACCTAATTCATCATTGTTTGTAGTGAACACGATAATCAGTAGAATGTGATTGTATACAATAGTGGTGGATGTGGGAATGCAACTTTAATATTTTGATTTTATTGACGAAAATGAACGTAGGTTAAGATGTATTCAAATGCCAAACTGAAGACAAGATTCAACAAATTATGTTCGCTTTTGTACCGAATGTAAATTGAGTCTAAAAAGCTGTATGAGAGGCGGGTAAAACAACAAGTGTGCACGAGATAACACTAAAACAAAAGTGCTGTCAGTCTGCAGGTTTGAATGAAATCTATCTACATCTAAATATACTATTACCACCATCTTGAGTACATATAAAACGATACCTGCTAACTATTAATCTGTTGCTTACTTTAGTAACATTAAGACCGTCGATGAAGACGTATTCGTTACCAACAGTAACATTGATAGCTGTTGTTCTGCTCTTAATTACTTCGATCGTACTATCATCACGGGGTTCAAATTTTGCACTGATTTCAAATTCTGGATGCAGGTTTGAACAATCCTTGATCATAGTATACCAGCATACACCTTCAAATCTGTAAGGATGGCCATCGAACGTGATCATATGTGGATCTCCTCTCCACACGGCCCTCACAGCTAAAAACAATAGAAGTGTCTTAGAAAATGTGGTATGTCATTCAAACATGTGATATAATCTCGCAAACTAAACAAGCTCTGTGTAATTGAAGATTGAGTTTATAAATACTAATTAAAAAATTATAAAGTGTTACACTTGCCAAGTTTGTAAACACTATTAGTCAATGTACCACCGCAAATGTCATTCACGTCTCCAGCACATGGTACGTTGCAGTCAGTATCACTGGCCTCTCCGTATTTGTTGTATTGTAAACCACAAAAGCAATGAGTACCATTCTGTAGCCCCGAATAAATGCTACCAACTGTAGTTCTACAGAAATCAACGCAATATTCCACTGACATCAACTCGTGAGTAGTGTGGTGTGCATTCATTGCCCTTTCGACACCATCTTTAAAACAACCCATGTAAGTTTGGCTCCATTCAGCTGATATATATATAGACGATATAAAATAGATAGGTAAATTAAACTTGAAAATGTTTTGCATACTTGACATCCACCTTTTCTGTCAAACAGTAATGTACTGTTATTCAGGCATAAGCTAAGCTAATAACATAATTAAAAGTAAAATACTTCATTTGACAAATGCATAGCATTATTGGTAAATGATTAAGTTATAAAATGCCATGTGCAACTATTTAATCTAAATTCGTTACTTACTGTTTCGTTTTTCAGCCAGACCCTGAAATAAAATCAGATATATGTTGTTTTTAAGTTACTCTAGTTGTATATGCTTCATGGGGATATTGCCAATGAAATGGTGCCGCCAAAGACCGTCTCATATTCAGTCTTTGCTGGCAATCTGCATTAAATAGAAAACGTTCTTCAAGCTTCCAACAAATTTAGTTTTGAATAGAAAATGAATGGTATTCAATATTTACAACAAAATACAACAAAATACAAGTTAATCTAGGGGTATACATATTCAAACAATGCTGTGTGTTTATAGGAGTATAGGTATAGTAGAATAAGAGAATGGAAGGAAGTAATATCGGTACACTCGTCTTACATCGCAATTCTACTACACGATACTAGTCGTGACTTTCAGTGTTGCTTATAGAAAACAGTAAAATGTATTAAAAGCTTTGAGTGAACTCATGTTGACTTGAGTAATATTAATATTTTTACACCCACGACCCTCATTTCATTGCTATGGAGGGTATAATGACCAAATCAAAGCAAACTAAATCAGACCTAAAGAACAAAATAAAGAAACTGTTAATCATAATTTACCACAATTACTACTAATGTATCCCATCTTCACCTATGACTGAAACATGTAAAAATACAACTGGTCGCTGTAAATACAATGACCCACAGAAATAGACATCTAGCAACTTATTTCGTCTTCCCTGCGTGTCATTATTTCAGAAATGTGCCAGTAATGTCAGATATCACTGGTGGTAGGCATTCACTTGTCCGTTTGAAAAGTCAGAGATCTGAATTGCGCATGTACATCTTTGTCACAGTAATTTCAAGTAAACGATATTTCACATAAATTTCTCATTGGAGCCATCAAAATTATTTCCTAACTCTATTGAAAGGTGTTTTACTGAGCTATGTCCGTTACTGGGATACAAGATTTGCCAACAATGTATTACACAAACCCAAATCACATTAAATTTGTAGACAGGCCGCGCGTTGTCATTGTAACTTACTATTGTCCCTGCTGCCAATGTTGCCTTATATATGTTATCAATTGCAATTGTACGAAACGACAAAAACAAAACAAAAAATATTTCTGACTGTGAAAAATCTGCTCAGTCATTACAAGAAAAACGTTAATTTAAATAGAAGATGCAGTCCTACCTACCTGTCATCTGATATGAAAAAATACAATTTATTTACCTGATTTGGCATAGCTATAACTGAGGCCAGTAATGTCAGGATGACCATTAAACGATACATGGCGATTGTATGCGTGGTCAACAACACCCACACTGGTGGTAACAACAAAGGAGTACGTGTGTTGTCACGTGCATACTGATTATGCTAATGAGATATAAATCGGCAATGATAATGAATTTGATCTTTGCGCACCAAATACTTCGTTAAAGTCAGAGGAGACCATACTACAATTCATTTAATGCCACTGACAGGCACACCATTTACATGTCGACGTAAGCTAATACTATACGTTATTTATTACACATCATAGACACTAATACATGTTTAACATTGACGTATATAATACTCAACTCCAAAATATCAGAGTTAACATGCAGTCAAGGCACGAATGTGTAGCATATGTCACCGCTTATTTTAAAGATTACAATATAGCTACAGAATTGCTGAAAAGAGTCTGTGATAGCTTTATTATTACTGGAATTAACGTGCACAGTACATGGGGATTAGAAGCATTGTTCATTTTTGTGAGGACTTAAATAAAAGGATAACACGTGTTGTTGCTGTTTAGCCACTCAACTATAAACAATAATCAGGTCATATATTGTGATCAAAATGGTATACATCTATATTATCTGAAGCCATATTTTAGTTTCATTAATGTACATAAATCCCCATAGTAGCAAAACGTTTTGTGGCATGTGTTAATACGTTCGTAATGTGTATTTAATTGTAATTCAGCACAGTGACAACTTGAAGAATAGAGCAAACTGTTGTCGTGTGAAGTTTTGCTGAATAAAGTGGCTAAACGTAAATATCATAGGTGACGATCTGTTAACGTGCTATGTCATGAATTAGTTTTCGCGCATCTGTTGACTGACTGAATCAGCTGGTTACTAGTGAATGACTGTGTTAAATCTGTCATCATTTAGGCTCATGCGAGGTCCTGGACAGAACTTGACTCAGTGATTTGGAACTAATTACGATATAACCGTCGCCATCTGGACCGCTATTTCTGACAGTTGGTCTTTGCAGTTATTAATATAGTGAACGATTAATCAAAAGAAACGACGTGCCCAGTACTTAGTGTGATTGGCTATGTTGAATGTGTGAAGGTTATGCCCTATGTCTTTAAACTTTTTTTTAATTGGTTAAGTTTGATACGTAATAAACGGTCTAAGTCCTTGGTCCCATAGAGAGCTCCACAAGCCGAGAGTCTTGGTCAGTCCGGGGCAGAGTCTCCGACGAGGCTGTTGCCTTGTATATATATAATATATCGCGTGGCCCGGTGACATAAATTTAATAATTTATTTCAGATAACATTGGATTTTTCAATATCAATAAATATTTCAAATGATTTCAATGAAATTTGGTACATAGAAACTCTTATCCAATGTCACAGAACGCTATAACAAAACCAGTACGACAGATCACTCACCACCAGTCCTGGCTAGCTACTCCGACATCTTAGCTCCACCTGTGTAATTTCATCCTGCCACAGAGAGCGCACCTCGTAAAACCACTTACCAAATTAATGTAAGAATAAATAATAAGAATTCATGACATCACTCCTCTTTCAAGAGGAAACTTATAAAGTTTCTGCACAAGAGATGAATTCTGTTACATAGTCCTTAAACTGCTCTACTTAGAAAATCAGCTCCATGGTTATCTGAGCCGTTAATACATTCAACGATAAATCTGTAGTTCTGCAGAAACATTGCCCATTGCATTACTTTGTCATTGATGAATTTAGCCTTGTCAACATACAATAACGGCTGATGGTCTGTCTGGAGAATGAACTGGGTTCCATACAAATACATCATATACTTCTCTACAGACCACACGATCGCAAAGAATTCTTTTTCGATAGTCAAATATGCCTATTCTTTTTGTGACAACTTCTTGCTAGCATAACTCACAGGGAATAACTTTCCATCATGACCTTGTAACAGGACTGCTGCAATCCCAACATCAGAAGCATCTGTACGCAACACGTAAGGCTTGTGTGAATCATGCAACCTCAATATAGGTTTACTGGTTATTACGTGAATAAGAGTTCGGTGAGCCTTCTCTTGTGCTTCTCCCCACATAACTTTGATGGGTTGGCCATTCTTTGTTAAATCAGTTAATGGTACTGCAATAGCTGCATAGTTAGGTATATACTCCTGTAAAACCCAGTTAGACCAAGAAACGGCCTGACTTCTTTCTTAGACGTGGACCGAGGAACATTTCTAACCTTTTTTACATAATCCTCGTGATCAACTCGATGACTGGCGAAATCAATAACATCAGAAGCTATTATGCACTTGGATTGTCTAGCAGTAAGCTGAGCATCAGCCATCCTGGTGAACAACTATTTGAGTGCAGTTAAATGCTCACACTAAGTGATGGTGTGAACCAAAATATCGTCAACATAACTAACCACCTCACACATCGCACTCAACATCTTTCTGACACCACGGACCAGGTTTGCACCAGAATTCATCATTCCAAATGGCATTTTCAAAAACTCGTAGGTACCATCTTGGGTGACAAAATCTGTATCATCTGCCATCACCATTGGCTCTGGATCAAACACTGTTACCTTGTTTAGCTTTCGGAAGTCAATACATATACGATTCGACCCATCTTTTTTGCGTACTATCACGACAGGTGATGCATATGGGGATTCGGTGTCCTTCATAACTCCTATTTTCAGCATACTTTGAATGTCCTCTTTCAAAGACTCTCTCACACTAAATGGCACTGGGTAAGGCCTCAATCTTATAGGTTCATCGGTTCGCAATTGAATACGATGCTGGATAAGGTTGGTAGTGCCAGGTAGGTCTGTAAATATGTGCTTATACTCGTGCACTAGACAGAGAACTGATTGCTCCTGATCATGAGTCAGGTTCCTGCCATATTTCACGTCAGCTACTGACTCTTTTGACATGCAAGAATTCAGCAACAACAAGTCATCATCCTTTACAGCATCTTCATCTAAAGACTCTTCATACTCTATGACAGCTGCACTAGCAATGCCCAAGACAGGCAGGTTGTCATCAGCTTCACTACTCTGCTCACTTCGTTGAATATACTTCTTCAGCAAGTTAGCATGATATGTTTTGTACGTTACACGTACCTTTACTCTGTAGTCATTTACACTAATCACACTATCACTTTGTTACTATCAGTTGGTAGTAGAATAAGAACCATTTGTCCAGGTTGAAACCTTCTAACTTTCACCTTCCTACCATAGTAGTGCTTGTACCGTTGCTGGGATTTCTGCATCTCTACCTGTGCAATTTTCAGTGTCTCGTCCAAGTGCTCTCAACTCAAACACATATTGATAACTATTTGAAATTTTCGGTTCCTCAGTCTCTGTTGTCCAGAATTACTTGAAAATTTGCATAGGACCTCTGATAGTCCTCCCATACATCAGCTCAAATGGAGCAAAACCTGTTGATTCTTGGGGCACTTCTCTATAGGCGAATAGCAATGCATTGATGTAGCGGTGCCACTGCTTTGGCTGCTCACTGCACAAACGCTTCAACATTGCTTTTAACATACCATTAAACTTTTCAACCAGCCCATTACACATTGGATGATAAGGGGTGGTTGACAGTTGTCTAATGCTCAACAGATGAGAAACTTCACACATACACTCTGACACAAACTGAGTAAAATCTCTCTGGTATACCTAGGCGACTGTACATATCAACCAGTGCATCGGCTACATCCTCTGTACTGATATGTTTCAGGGGTATTGCCTCTGGATACCTGGTAGCATAGTCTACTAATGTCAAGAAGTCCTTACGCCCTTTTTCACTAGGAGGGTGAATAGGACCAACTAAATCAATGGCAATCTTTTTGAACGGCACATCTATCAGTGGCATCTTCTGAAGTGGAACTTAGGTACCGTTCTCTGGACAATATCACAAGATATACAGAATCTTGTTATGTCACCATGTATATCTGGCCAGTAGAAATTGCTCAGGACTCTATCACTAGTTTTCTTTACGCCCATATGCCCTCCCGTTATCGAATCATGCGCCACCATCATGACTTGGGTACGCAATAGCATAGGTACAACCATCTGCTTAACAGACCTACCCTGATTCACACGAGGATGAGTAAACTGTCTGTATAGTATACCGCCTTTCTGCAGAAACATAACTTCCTGGTTACCTTTAAACTTAGGTTCCTTCAAGGACCAATATTTACTGAGAGATGGATAGTCATGCTGCAATTTTACTAGCTGAGCCCTATTTACATCTTATGACTTACCCCTGTCATGTACACACAAAGGTACTATTTTGTTACCTTTCTTAGCCATAGCACGAGTAACCACAGCACAAATTTCTTGCCATTGTGGATCAGGATCATCAGGCAAACACTGTGCCTCCACCTCACCAGTGAAATATGGGGTGTCTACATATAGCTTAGCTATAGGTACAGTACGTGCATACAACACATTCCAGTGTACAGGTTGTCACTAACAAAGTCTCCTTTTACTACCACACCACTACAACCAGTGACCCTCAATGTGGTAACCACTTTCTCTCCAATCCTTCCTTTCACCACAGGCATTTTGGTTTTAGATTTAACAGATTCTTGGAAACAGGCATTATGGACTAGTGGTATTCTCTTTCCGCCAACAAAAGCTCACCACCATCAATACAAGATTCAATATCAGCTTTGGTTGTGAACTTGGGTTGCACTAAACATACTGCACTAATTTCACTTTCCTGTTCTGCATCACCACCTAAATCAACCACAGCAGCACCGACTTTTTTCACATTAGGCCTATCACCAAACCTTGTTGAAAATCGACATGTAACAGATCTGTGTTTCAAACGGCCACAATTATAACATCTGACCCCGTAACCCTGTGAAGGCCTCACTTTGCACTCTCGAGACATATGACCATACACTTTGCATTTATAGCACTGAACATCAGAATTAATTTCCTAACCACCCGGCATCTGAGATTTTAGACATGGGTAGTCGCAAGGGGAGGTCAACTGTCATGAGCAATTAAGTAACGGTCAGCATACTAGCCAACTCATGAAGAGTTCTAGGCTGCTTCTCGCGCATGCG